GCTTTTGGGGGTTTAAGGCCCGGCTTTTTGGGGGGGGGCTTTTTTTTCCCCCCCCCCCCCCCCCCCCCCAAAAAAAAAAAAAAAAAAAAAGACGCCGATGACTGATGATGCATGGCGTGGTTGTTGTTGTTGTTGTTGGCGATGTGGTTGTGGGGTCAGCGTTTCCGTGGCACTGGCATTTTTTTCCTCGACCTCTCAACCCTGTTTTCGATCCATTCGTCTCCCTCTCTCTCTCTCCCCTTACTCTTTCTTCCGTGCTGGCTGGCTGCCCTTGAATCTTGGATGGTGCCCCCACGTTAAGATTCTTCCACCACTGTTCCCATGCTTGACTAGTGCTTCAGACTGCACGAGTACGCCGCGCGCAGGGCCATCAAGATCTTGCTCTTGCCGCAGGCATTGGCGAGACACGATACCCTTTCAGCCTCTTGATTGCCGTGCAAGCACCACCGACGCGATGGGCAAGGACACCAACCTTGTGTGCAGCGAGTGTCACTCCAGCTTCCGCACCCACTCTCAGCTTCGTCGTCACGAACGCATCCATTGGCCCGCTGATGCGCACCCCTACAGCTGCTTCATGGCCGGGTGCACCAAATCCTGCTACCGTGCCGATCACATGCGCCAGCATCTCCGCCGTTACCACAAAGTGCCCGAGGCCGAACTTCCCGCCAGCCTCGAACACTGCAAGCAATGCGCTCGTCAGCACCAGCGCGCGCGCAAGGCGGCTTCTGCGAGCCACGAGCTCTGGTCCCCCGCCCGAGTTGCTGCTTTGCAACGCGCTGGCCACCCCAACAATACCCTGTCCGCGCTCAATACCCTTCGCGGCTATGTGGCTAGCATGGAGCACGGCGCCAAGCCCAATTTCAACCTTGCCTCGATTCTCAATGCCGGCTCCTCTGCCTCGCCCTTGCCCCAAGTCCAATTGCCGCCGCACCTCCTCCCTCAACAGTACCAACAACTACCGCAACAACAACAACAACAGCAGCAGCAACAGCAGCAGCTGCTGCAGCAACGCCGTGGCCCTTCAGAGCAGCCCCTGGCTCAGCTGCAAACGCAGCGCCCAATGGCCTCGGTACCTTCCACACTGCTGTTACCCAACCTCAACCCTCCGTCTACACTCCCACCTACCTCATCCATTGATACCGACGCCGTGGTTTCGGACGATCTGGACGCCGTCATCCAGGAGATTGCCCAGCAACTCCCGGCCAACACCAGTACCGGCATCCCCGATGACCTGGCGGAGCTGTTCAACACAGGATCGGGCTCGGATGAGGGCCTTGACCCCTGGAACGCTGCTTCACGCGCCTGTTGGCTCAACATGGCCGGCGAATCACCCGATCTCAGCCTCTCAGAAGGTGCAGCCTCCCAAGCGTCGTCCAATGCGGCAACCGCAGTCTCTGGACAACAGCAATTGCCCACCCGACCGGCCGCGATGAATTGCACCATGGAGCCAAAAAATGGTAGCAGCATTGTTCGCTTCGACGCCAATCCCAATGAAGACCTTTCCAGGGCCGACGACAGCAACAGCACTGCCCAGACGCTACAGGAGCTCATCAGTAGCCTGACTCCCAACCTTGGCTCGGCAGCGTCCGCTTCCCCCCTGCCCTTCCCCACCTCTGGCAGTCGCCCCTCTGCTTCCAACAACAGCTTGGACAGCACTTTCCTCATCAACACTGGGCAACAACAGCAGCAGCAGTCGGGCAAGATCAACACGCAGACCTACGATGCCTTGAATACTCTGATCTCCACTCTTGCCGCTTACAATCAACAACGCCTCACCTTGGCCTAAGCAGCAGATCTCGCTCCATATGACCACATGGCTCGTGGCGTTTTTCTTAGCCTCTTTGGCCATGAATCATGCCTCAAGCGCCTTTGTATTAAACACCTTTGTCTTCCTTCTTCAGTTTGATGGCCATAGTTATCATGTTGACTTGCCATGGGTTGAATGGGCGGCGCTCTGCTGTGCAGACTCGCCACATTTGTGCCTTGGCTTAAGCAACCGCCTTTTTTTTTTTTTTTTGAGTTGCTCCAAATTATTTGCGTTTAGTGGTTTGTGCGCATGCGTGTGCGTTGAGTGAGCAACCCGAGGCGCTCACTGGCGAGGATCATGGTGCGCTCCGTGAGAGCATGCTTGCTTCGCTGCGTTTACCTCTTTGCCTTGCCTTTTCTTTGCCTGTTTTCCTTTTTTTCCCTTTTGGCTTGCGGTCTGCGACCACGCTATGGCAACTATTTGCCATAGCCCTGCTGCTGCCCGTCCTTTGCTTGGTATTTCCATCCATGTTAGATTTATTTCCCTGCTATTGTGATATGGGCGCGGCGATCCCTGCCGTGCTGGTGTCACAGCCTTCCTCTTTCGCTTAGTTCAGAATCTGTGTGCTTGCTTTTGTTACGTGAATGAATTGACTTAGACATGATTAAACCTTCTTTTGGCGAGGTGAGATGACTCCTACTCCTTGGTTCCTCCGTGCAGAGTCACAAAAGGATTCCGATTCCTCCGCGTCAAGCAATCATGGCTGGAGGAATTCCAACATCTGACGGCTGTGCATGGTCAACTTTCCACTCGGGATCGATGGTGATTGCTATCGCCAACGCGTCATGAAGCTCAGTCACACGCAAAACTGTCCACACCAAGACGCGAGCACACCAGCGCAGAGGCGTAACAGCGTCGACGAGGGCTCCCAAACGATCCCCAAAGCCATCATCCAGCGCAGCCATCACGTCTAGCAGGAGGCGCGAAGAACGCAGAACGTGTCTCTCTCTCTTTTTTTGTTCTCTTCAACATGAGCAAGAAGTGCTGATCAAACTGCGGACAACACAGACTCATCGTAGATAAATGTAGAGTTTATGTAGTTTTCAATGGCACATGAACGCGTGTTTATGAAGAAGATTGTGGAGTTGTCGTCGTCTGACATTACGCGGTTGCATTCCCTGAAAGTCTCCTGCAAAGAGGTGTGAGCCAACTCCGGCGGCAGAGCGATCCAAAGGGGATCAGGTCGGGGTTAGTGCCATCGCAATCGCGGCCATCACGCAGCGACCGGAAGGGGGAAGCCATGACTGATGCGATGGTCGGATGTGTGAGCGTTTGGGGTCGAGCCACAGCCCCCTTTTCGCGGGCTGCGTCGATTGTTCGAGTCAAAAAGTACAACAACAGATGCAAAGGGTGATGATGGGTCGCCGGGTGATGACTGATGGCGTTTCTCTGCTTTTGCCCCTTTCTGCCATCAACCTGGACGACGGCATCAAGCGTCCTGTGAACTTGTAGGAGGGGGGAAATCGCTTCCGTCGCGTTCTCGGTTCGTGGACTGCTGTCACCCAAGGGTCATTATTAGCACGTGCATCCCGCCCACCTTTGCGCTGGGACAACATGGCCCAAGCATCCGAGCCCCAGGCACCAGCCGCTGCGTCCCAGCATCGGGATGAGCCCCCTCGTCTCTGGTGCTTTGATTTCGATGGTGTAATTTGCGACTCGGCCCGAGAGACGGGGGCCACTGGACTCTTGGCGGCTCAGCAGGTTGGATGTTGTCGCTGTCAGCCTGAGCACCAGCCGCCCTCCGTGCTCGTGCTCTCGTGCTCTCGTGCTCTCGTGCTCTCGTGCTCTCGTGCTCTCACGCTCTCACGCCTTCCGCTCCTGCAGTTGTTCCAGCTCCCCGATGCCAGCGTCCAAGGGGCTGCGGGAGACCGCATTATCGCCGCCTTTGAGCAGGTCAGCGTTTCCAACCCTGGCCAGTTTGGAAGACTGACCACACTGTGCACATCAACCGCTGGTTCATTCATGTCGAACCGCGTCCCGCTCCCTCGCCCCACAGGTTCGACCCATCTTGGAGACGGGCTGGGAAGCCGTGTTGATGACCCTAGCCTTGCACGATGGCGTGCCCATCGACACCTTGTTGACCGACTTCCACCCCCGCATCAAAGGTAGCTTGCCTCCTTTTGCTCTCCACGCCGCAGCACTGCTACGCTTGTGCATGGTGCCCACACCAACTGCCAATCAACCAGGACTGGATAGCGCCTGCGCCAGCTCATTTTTTTTTTTTTTTTTTTTTTTTTTTTTTTTTTGGCTCGAATAGCTGACCTTTTGACGCGCCGGGCCGTCACGGTCGATCAAGTCAAGGCTGCCTTTCACAACGAGCGTCTTCGCCTGCTCGACCAGAGCCGACGTCATTGGCTGGACTTGCACAAATCCTACGACAAGGTCTGGGCCGTCCACGTCCACGGCAGTGCTCCCACTCAAGCTCACCACTTGGCTTGTTCCTCAGGCAGCCTCGGCTATGCGTTGCGTCTTAGAACGCACCCAAGCAGCGCCAACTCAGGAGGTGCGAGCATTTGCTCTCTCTCTCTCTCTCTCTCTCTCTCTCTCTCTCTCTCTCTCTCTCTCTCTCTCTCCCTCTCTCTATTGCCTTGGTGCACAGGTGTCAGCACTAGCCATTGCTCAGCCTCCCCACTCCACTTCCTTGTTTTGTTGACAGCAAGTTTATGTCATTACTACCAAGGCTGCTGAGTTTGCTTTGGAACTTTTGCAAGACTTCAACGTGCCGATTGCTGCCGACAACGTTTATGGCCTCGGCTCTCCTCCCAAGGTTTGGAGCTTCTAGCCCAAATTAACAAAATGACACACACACAAACACACGCACGCACACAGACAGAGAGACAGGCACAGAGGCACCCTCACACATATTCCCGTACATAATGTGTACACCATCGCTGTTCACGCCGCAACATTGGATCGCTGGTTCAACCCCTTTTAAATGTGCCCAGGCGCAGGTCTTGGCCCAGCTTATGAAACGCCATGCAACCAACAACGTTCTGTTTATTGAGGATCGTCTGGCCACCCTGCAGGATGTGAGGTGTGTACACGCGTGCACGTCACTCCAGTGTGGCAGTTCGAGATCTTGTCATTGCTCACACTCAGCAACGGCATCTCATGTTGGGCCAACTGGTGCCACAGGGCGGCCTTGCCCAACGTCGAGTGCGTTCTGGTCGATTGGGGTTACAACACGCCCGAGGATCGAACAACCGCAAAAGAACTCGGCATCCCCTTATGGTCTCAGGATATGCTGCTCAGCGCCGCGCAGACATGGACAATTAATTGACAAAAATCGGCACTGTCAAAACGAGCTGGCCAACCATTGTGCTCGGCAGCATCCCCTGAACTTACAACCTCGTGCAAGACTGTAAATTTGCAGAAGCACATCTTGCCAACCTCTTTTCGGTGCCTGGCCTATGGCGCCAGCCACGCAACTAGTTGCGCTTTCAGCTCTGATGTGAGCTTGGACGAAGCATTCAAGAGGTACAGCGCGTCTCCAATGCGTTGACGGAACATCTATGTGTAGGGCCAATCTACAATGTGAGCAAAATATATGTTTCCCCCGGTTCTTTGCCTTAAACCCCTTTATTATCAGCGTGCCGCGAACGCCTCGTACCTGCAGTTCCTGTGTCACCACTTCCGAGGTGGGGCGCGCATTGATGCGGGCAATGCTGTTGACCAGGGCATACAGCTGCGTCGCTTCCTGTGGAGAGCACGGGGCGCCTACGTCAAGTGTAGGCGGAGCATTGCCGAGAAAAGGGCACGTGTGCTTGTACCTGGGCTGGCTGCGTCTCCTGATAATCGACCGTCTGCTTGATGACGTGTGCGCGTTTGCGCAGCGCTGTATCAAGGCCATATCGCAGGAAGAAGTGAGAGCAAGGCGGTCAGAGTCGAGCGTTCGCCGCCATCGACAGCACAGCATGTTGTGACGACACGCACAAACAAACGGCGTCGAGGCAAGCAGCTCAAAGTCTTGAGTCGCGTTGAAAGCCACCGTGGCATTGCAGGCATAGGACGAGCAGATGATAACCGCGCGCGCCGTCAATGCCGCAGCATCATACTCTTGGATTTGCACATTGCTGGATGCATGCGCTGTCCACCACATCAAAAGTCGCCATGAGCTGCTTCGCGTTGAGAGCTCCGATCACTGACACGGTCGTACCGATGGGCATCGCCTGTGGAAAAGTAAACACGTGCTCCCAGGTGGCGGCGGTGCTCTGCGTAACCTCCAGCTGGCGCGTGACCAGTGTGAGGCAGACCGGCCTTGCAGCGTGGGCACAGGGTGCAGAAAACCAAGCATTGCACGCACTGTAAACGTGTTGCCTGAGCGTGAATAGGTCATGTTCAAGCCCCCCTGCTTTTCGTCAATCACGCGACCCTGGCCTACAAAGCACACATGCACAGTTACGCCGCGTGAGTTCAAAGGTCCAGCGACGATGCAGGAGAAGGTCCACCAGCCTAATCCACATCTCTATGCGCACCTCGCGTTGAATTATAGGCATAGATGTGCCAGTGCAACGAAGCGGGGGGGTCCAGGGCATAGCCCCAGGCATTCTCTACATCGGAGCATCGACTGCATGAGCTGACCGGCTGATTCATGCCTCTAGTATAAATTCCCGCCCTCGCATCCATCGCAAGCCGGAAAGTCTTTTCATTCCCGTCCGTACCGGGTGTGACCGTGGGTCCCATTGGTAGGACAGACCCAGCGCGCACAAACGCCGGCGTCTCAAACATGGTGTATTTCTAACACCGGACCATCGCAACCAAAAGGCGCCCCATGTCCATTCGTCATCCCACGGAACATAGAGGAAAAGCAAGAGCAAAAGCAAAAGCGCATGAGCATGCACTGAGGCATCATCGAGTTGTGGGAGGCCAAGGTGACGCACCGTGTTCCGAACACGGCCACCCTGTACAATCGTCTGATTCACCAGGTCAATCCATGTGCCCGGTGGTAGCCAAAAAGATCGCGAGGCCAGTTGTGTCGCATTCTCCTGCCAGTATCGCATGTTGATTCAACATTATCAAGTCGCTCCCTGCCAGGCCAGGCATTGTGTTGTGGGTAACGCCGGCACGAATGGCGGGGCCTACCACGGGTGCCGTCACCGGGGCGACAAACAAGTGATCACAGAAGACAAAGGTGTCGTTGAAGAGATAGGCCCCATCTTCCTCCGGATAATCAAAGTAAACACCGTGCAGGGGTGACACTGTGTTGCACAGCCGGAGGCCCACGGGTCAGTGGGCGGAGCGCGGTCAGAAGGCGTCCATGTAGAGCTCCGAAAATAAACATGCACGAGATCACCGACCGCCAGTGTATGTAAAGTCTTGCAGGGCAGTGTACAGCAGGGGCACGTGGCGGGCGCGCAGTCGCATGGCATCGGCCATGTAGTCGTTCAATGGAATGGGCCAGCCCCATGGACGACGCTCCACGCGTGGATCCGGCTGAGGATGTGTTCGCAAGATTGGTGCGTAAGAGCCCCATTGCAGCCAGCTGCATGTCCGCATGCAATGCAGCAGGCATAAAGCAAAGTGAAAGGGGGCACTCTCTGAGTAGATGCACAAAGCCCAAAGGCATTAGCGCGCCCAACTGCACGGACCGCAGATACAGCTCGCCATCATAAGCTTGTTCATCGTGGTGAGAGCGATGCCCGCCAATGTCTACAGGGTGGCACGATGGGATGGGGCGTATGGTGAGTCCCCGATATCTAAGCGGTGTTCAGCGTTGTGTTTGTGTATCAGTGAGATGTGGCAATCCCGTACCATGGGACCACCAAAAGAGGACGTTCGAGGCTATGTGGCGTGCGGAGCAACGTGCAGTGAGTGAGCACCATGGCGGACGGATGCAAGAAACCAAGCTGTCAACCAGCCCTGGCTGTACATACAAGCAACCGTGAAGGCTGTCTGAAAGGCCAAGGAGGACCATGCAATGTAGACATCGCCGCTAAAGCCGATCGGGTAGCGGTGGGAGCCCAAGCCGCCCCAACGTGAGAAAGCCAAGCCCTTGGCTGTCTGTATGAGATGCCACACGAGAATACACGTGAGAGGGTGGGTTCAAAGTGCGTGTGCTGTTGTCTGTGTGGTCAATATTCTCCCTGGGGCGCTGGACTGACCCCTTGAACGCGGCCGACCGAGTGCTCGTATAGTAAGCGAGCGGTCCAAGAGGGCACATCATCAAGCCACCACCAGCCCATGCCTAGCATATATCAGGTGCATGTAGCGAAAACGGGGCACCTGATCAGCCACGCCGAGCCTTGTATGACGTTTTCGCCCACGTTTATCATCCCCCTATCACTGACCGACATCGTCGAGCGCAATGTCTAGGTAAGCTCGAGCAAAAGTGGGATCTTGCTTCAACAGATCGGCCACACTTGACATGGCAGTAGCACAGCACGTGAGATAAGATGACAGTTCAAGGCGCAAGCAGAGCGTTTTGAGTCTTTCTCAAGCCTACCTCTGGTTGTAGGGGTAGGACAAATTGGCCGATGGGATATCAAAGCCCAGGCTCGGATCAATGCCAAGGGCCTCGGCAAAGGCATGGTAGCTGCTCCAGTCGGCCCCCGGGGCAAGCACAACGAATGAGCAAGATGCGGCATGACAAACAGCACGGCTACCAAACACGCTTGCAACCTTGCGGGCGACAGCAGACCTGGGAGCTACGCCGGCTTGGACGGCATTCAGGTGCAGGTTAAGCACGGTATGCAGGTTGTTTGCGTTGAGGCTGGCCAGAAAGTTATCCGGCTCTGGAAACAGCGATGGGGACCATTGATAGCCACCCCAATCGATTTTGGATTCGTTGTGAAAGTGCCAGGCCATGTCTAGGTGCACGCGTGAAGATGAGCGCAATCTTGGCTATTTAAAACCAGGCGCGATGGCGTGGGCATCAGGTCAACCGACAGACCAGACACCAGGATATCCAATGGGATGCTTCGGGACTTGTAGCCTTCAGCAATCTCCATCAAATCTTCAGCGGTGTATGGCCAGTAGCGTGACCACCAGACGCCCAAGACGAAGCGTGGGAAGCTGGGCACGCCCCCGGCCACCTTGGTAAAATCTTTGACGGCACGACGATAATCGCGGCTAAGGACGCACATCATTCGTGTTGATTGTGGTGAGTGTACCCCGTTGTTCATTGACCCCAGATGCGCGGGTGGATGGCGGCGCAAAGGCAGTGGGGTGGGTGGCATCATCAACAAACCCGTGACCAAAGAAGTACAGGTCTTGGTGATTGGGTGGGGGCGAGTGTAGCCAGGCGGTGGAGGCGTTGATGACCCAGTTGCCCGAGTCATCATAGAGGGCCCAGCCATCGCGAGAGATGGGGGCAAGGGTGCAGTCGCCATTGGATGTAGCTTGGCCACTGGAGCTGCAGTTGATGTTGGTTGCGCCCGTAACTCCGTCGAGCGAGTAGACTGCAGGGAGCAAGAGCAATGTTGTTGGCATGAAGCGTCCAATGCGCAGCAAGCAAGCAATACCGAGATGGGGGAATGCAACGCGCCAGCTCACTTGTGCCAAGCAGGTTGCCAGTGGGGAGCATCGATGGCACCCAGGACACGCCAGTTGATTTAACGCGAATGCTCAACGTCTCATCTGTGAATCCACCAGAGAAGGTGCCGCCGACTGTCCGGTCACTCCGAGCGACGGGCGCCAATGCCTACGGCCAGCGCCAAGGAGGAGCGAGAAATATGGCAGTGAGTGAGAGAGAAGTGGGTGTTGGCTTATGTGTCATGGGAATGGGCAAGCAATAGGCAGCGGGCGATGCTCACATCACGCAGTGTGTAGCAGTCGGCGCCGGTCCAGACCCAAACATTGCAAGTGGGATCGAGGTTACAGGCAGCACAGCAGGCATCTTGTGAGGAAATGTTATACGGTTGAGTAGCTGTTCGATGGTTGCCACAAATGTCGCCGCAGTTCTGGGATGGACATGCATTTGGCACGGCGTGTGAAGGGCGGGTGTCCACACCGAGCGTGCAGGGGGACAAGAGCAGGAGGATGCCATCAAAAACAGCGGGCAAGAGTGGTTAGTTGGCGGTGTCAGAGAGACATACAGCATCGTGCCCAGGATAGACGGTGCCACAGTCGTTGCTCCTGGCCTGAGACCCCAAAGGGAAAGAAATGGCAAGAAAGTCGTGATCAGTATCTTCTCGCAAGAACTGGCTCGAGGTGTGCACCGATGCATCCAGTTGGAGGGAAGCAAGACCTGCGATGATGGCTTGTAGGTGACGAGGAGATCGGCTGTTTCAATGGTCACGATATCCGTAGATACATTGGCAGTAAAGGAGGGCCGGGGCAAGTTTCTATAGGGGGGCGATGCGCCGTGTCTTGAGGGCGCTAGCGGTTCGGGCGGGCAGTGACAGCATGACACGCTTGTACCTGTTGACAAAGCTGTACGAGGGCACGTCCACAAACTGGCCAGCACGGCTGAATTCCATACGGATCACGGCCGAGGTCAGCACGGTAAAGCGCGCCTGCTTGCGTGCATCCAACACCACCGCCTGGCCACGCGAGCGAGGTGAGGACCCGCGCAAGCCGGGCAGATGTCGGGAGATCGGGGATGCCTAGTGCCCACCTGCGGGTTGGGGTTGGGATCGTAGCCATTGTCGAGGCGAGCCGTCTGACGATGGAAGAGGGCAAGCGATTGACGTGTGAAGCATGAATGTGAGTCAGGCGCGGGATGGATATTCAGGCAGGGAACGGACACACCTGCTGCGCCACCACTGCCATTGCCAGGCCAAGAATCAGCGCCACCACGCGGAGGCAGCTCCTGTTTGACACCATCGTGTTCCTTGACGTCAAGGTCACCTAAAGCCAGCACCACCAACTGTCAGCCATCCATGCCCAGTCCCTATCGCAGCCACCACAAGGCGCAAAGACAAACCCAAACCAGCCCCCGCCAGTGTGCACCTGTGTGTGTGTGTGTGTGTGTGTGTGTGTGTGTGTGTGTGTGTGTGTGTGTGTGTGTGTGTGTGTGTGTGTGTGTGTGTGTGTGTGTGTGTGTGTGTGTGTGTGTGTGTGTGTGTGTGTGTGTGTGTGTGTGTGTGTGTGTGTGTGTGTGTGTGTGTGTGTGTAAAACACAAACAAATCAACGCCAACGTCTCTGATGTGTGTGAGTGATGATCGATTGTCAGAAAGAGAGAGAGAGAGAGGCGTGTGTGTGTGTGTGGACTTATCAACCAATTCAACTCTCTTGATTTTTGCCGTGGTGTGTGTGTGGGGGGAGGGAGCTGGCTGTTGGACTGGTGAAGACGTCGAGAGAGGGTGGTGGTGGTGGTGGCGGTGGAGTATTTGCGGCTGCTTGGGTTGTGTGGGGGCCTTGGGGCTGGGACGAAGAGGCAGTACTGACCAAAGACAGCCTTTCAACACGCACACACACACACGCGACAAGATGGCGCCACCGGAAGACGGGTCGGCGGAGGTCGTGTCGGCGCCGCAACACGCGCATGGCGAGTCACAGCCGAGGTTCCGCTTTCCATACACCATTTTTGCAGATATGGATGGGACAGTGGTGGAGCGACCGCCTTCCGGGCTCTACCCGGGCCTGGACGAGAGTCCATGCTGGGGCCCCATTTGCCAGTGGCTCGAGCTGGGAGGCCGCCTCGTGATTATTACCACCGCTAACCTTCGCAGCGTCACACAGGTCAGTCTCTGCTGATGTCGACCCCAGCACCATCGAGCGCATGCCTTGACCAACCCTTGGGTGCTAGTTTTGGCAACATATTCCACTCGAGGCGCGGCGGCGTCGACAAGTCTGGCTGGCCATGGGTTCAGGGGCGCTCCTCTTTACGAGCGACGCCGCCGGGGCTCCCGTAGCCATGTCCAGTTATCGTGCCACTGCCTTGCAGCCGACCACCAGCATCACGCTCGAGGATCACCAGGCCCTTCTGCCTCAGCTCGCCAAGCTTCACATTGCCCAGTTTCAAGAGTTTTGCCATCACCCCGAGCTGATCGAGCGGCTGTCAGACAAGTACCACGAACCCATCCGCCGCTTCCTGGCCGATTGCCAGCACGATGCTGCTCAGATCGCCGCTCGCGTCACGACCGACTTGCTCACAACGCCCGGTGGCATTATGCACGCTACCAACGAACGTTACATTTCCGCGGCCCAGCCCCTTGTGGCCCTCCGCCGATGCCAGGGTGAAGGTGCCGCCGGAAGTACCGAAGCAACCAACCAACAATCCGACCTGACACAGGACCCAGCGCTGCTTCGTGAGGTGACCAATGTCGTCACCATGGGCTTTCATGAATCCATCGCTCCGAGATATTTTGCCGAACTTGAGCCCTTTCTTGCAGAGCATGGTCTGGAACAATCCTTCGCCCCCAACAGCGTTTGGATCTATCGTCGTGGCCTGGACAAGGCCGTGGTCATTGACTGGTTTCGGCGCACCGATGCGGCCACCATCGTGGACCACTTGCCCGACGCCTACTTCAAGGACATACCGATCGCCCTTGACCGTGCCGTGGCCCTGGGTGACAGTCCACACAGCAATGACGGACCCATGGGCCGCTTTGGGGATCAAGGCTTGCCGTTTGTTTCCGTGGCAGCTCGAGAGGATAATGTACCGGCGGAACACCGCGCGCTACACATTGGCGGCCAAGAACATGGCTCGGCTCACTTTTTAACCCACCTCATGGACAATCTGCTCCATCAGGAGGCACGCTCAAACACCGACAGTCCCCTCGACGCACCTACTTGGTCTCAAGCCGTACAACAGGCCGTGCACGCTGCGCGACACGCCCTATCGACCCCGTCTTGACTTTGCGCTTCATGTCCGCTGCCGTGTATGCCTTCCGTTTTGCCCTGTGCCTTGGCGTCTGCGGACACTCCTTGTTGCCTTCAAGTACAGACATATTGGGTGCCCCTCAGTTTTGCTTCACATAATCATATTATTCTATCAATTGACGCAGACCGCATGGCTCTTCTTGGTGTCCAAAAAAAAAGATTTAAATCCAAGGCAGCGGGGCTGTCACGACAGGACGCCCTGGCGATGTGCAGTAATCGGGTTGCGGTTGGGACTCAGGAATGCCCAGTCGGTGCGCGTGTCAAAGTGGCGAGTGGTGGAACCGGTAATGGCCTGGGCCAGGGCAGCGCCCACGACAGGGCTCAACTTAAAGCCGTGTCCGGTAAAACCGTTGGCCACAAGGTAATTGGTGAAAGGGTGGACCCGACCGACCACGGGGTGGCTGTCGGCGTAATTGACCGTGTAGAGTGCCGAATAGCCCGCCACCGTGCCGCGAGGTGTCAACCCGGGAATGCGAGCGTGCAGGCTGCTGAGGTAGCGCTGGCGCACCTCGGGGTCGGCCGCCGTGTTAAAGTCATCGGGCTCCTCCACACGCTCCTCCTCATCCTGGGGGCGCACCGTGGAGATGATAATGTGGTCGCCCTGCAGATGAGGGCGAAAATACACGCCGTTGACGGCATCGCAAACGGCGGGAATATCCTCAGCTGCTGGGTCCTGCTTGACTAGAGGCTTGTGGACGACCTGGATGCGGGCAGGTTGAATGTCCCAGTCGTTATCCCAGCCCACAATGTCATTCAGTTTGTCGTGCCACGGACCCGTACAGTTGACCAAGGCCCCGCACGGCACCGAATCTCCAGTGCTGAGCTTGACGAGCTCGATGGTCGAGTCGTCCATCACATGCACGCGCTCAATCTCCGTGTTGAACATGACCTCCACGCCAATGTTGCGACAGGCGGTCAGGAGATCTGTGAGCGCGGCCGTGGGATCAAAGTAGCCTCCATCCTCTTCCACAAAGTACTGAACCACGCCGGTTCGCTCGTCCTGCGAGAAATCAAGGGCGGGGAAGCGCTCCCCCACCTCATCCGCGCTGTAGTAAACCGTGGTGTTGAGGCCATGGCGTGCGAGGCGCTGGACATCCTGCTGATAAGTCGTCTCAGGCATCACCCATAGGATCGGATGCTGCCGACCGAGGGCAAGCAGTCGTGGTTGAGATGAGCCCAAGCACCCAGCATGCAACAGACAATTGGCATACAAACTAAGGAGGAACGAGAGCGGGTGCCTTGCCAGATTGTCGTCTACAAACCTGGGTGAAACTGGCCAGGGGCCGGGGCAGCTCCAGGTAGTCACTCCAGTTGTTGTGAATCTTGAGGCCCTCCGCAGCAACATCCACCATACTGGGCAGAGTATAACGGCAGCGCAACACTGCGCTGGAAAAGCCCGTGGAGCCTTGGCCCACCGCACGGGCCCGCTCCAGCACGCGCACGCCAAGCTCCGGAGCCCGGCGCTTGAGCTACCCACGAGTAGATCAAAACAAAGAGGCCCACGGGCGTTTAATGGGGATTGTCCAGGCTCACAAGGCAGGGAGGGAGTAGCAAGCCACCGAACAAGACAAAACAAAGGCCCCTCGCTAACCTGAAAGGCCGTGTGCAGGCCCATGATACCGGCCCCGGCGATGATCACATCGGCGCTCTTGCGGATCCGCATTGCCGTCGGTCAATAGAGCGCAAACCCTCAACACTCACTACAAAGGCCCATCCATCACACATTCAACGTGAGCATCCATCTTGTCATGGTTGCACCGTGTTGAGGTTTGCAGCTGCCATCCCTGTCCCTCCCCCACGGCCGAGGCATGTCCAGATCCCGACAGGGCGCTGCCGTTCCACTGCGCAACATAGTAACCGATACAGAGAGAGAGAGAGAGAGAGAGAGAGAGGAACACGCGCGCGGGCAAGGAACACTTACCAGCCAAGGAGAAAAAAAGGTCAATGATCCAATAAAAGCAAAACTCAACGTAGGCATATGTGCAATTGATGACGACGCGTAGTTGGTTTTATACGACATGAACTACCTCGAACCTCTGCAGTAACACAACAACTATTAAGCTTTTTTCTTCGATAGGTGGGCCCGAACTGATCAATCAATACGAGGTATGTGTGCGAGTAATGGCGACGTGATATTGGATTTATGCGGCATTAGCTCAGGGAGGAGCTGATAAGCGCACGACATCTACTGTGATGATTGCAGCATTAAGTCGAGCAGAAATTCACAACTCATTGTACACTCATCCCAATACGATCGCCATGCCAAAACAGCAAAGGGCAGCAATGGGTTCTCGGTTGGCGGTGACAACGGTCGTTGACGAGTGTTCAAGACCTCTCTTTCTTGTTGGACGCTTCTTGTCGCGTGTGGGTGTGCTGTCTTTGTCTCAACATGTTGAATGCTCCCTTAAAACCTCTTTGCCCCTCAGCAAACAGTCGATAGAGTGTGCCAAATAACTTGTAAATCACATCATGATGATTGGGGTTTGGCTGCGGTTGTGAGTGAAAAGATGGTGGCCATCAGCGAGCCTAGCTCACTGTTGGTAAAAATGAGGTTGTCAGCCTTGTTGTCGGGACCTATATTGCAGAACCACTGGGCAGCGGGCGACGTCATTAGACTGTAATCAGCTTTTAGATCCTCGTAGCTGTCAGAAGCAAGCAACAGCAAACGATTGCGGCAAGCGCTGCCGTAAATCTCGGACAACCCTGCATATTCATCCTGCGCAGTCTTCCTCAAGTGATCGACCTCCTCTGAACACCCAGAAGTGGGCACCTGCAGCTTCTCCAAATATGATCTGGTTAGCATCACAATGCAAAAGTGTTGGGTGCCCTGACCCACGCCCTTGGCTTCATGCTGCATCCAGCCCTTCCAGCCGAGGCGCTGAATATTCGCCGCGATGCGCGGGTCCTTGTATGTGCTGACCCGGAGCTGATACCGCTCCAGCTGCGTTTGAAGCTCAGCGGCCTTATCTGAGTCCTCCTCGGAGTACGAGATGAAAATGTGCGGCACAACGTGGGTCAGGAAGAGGTAGTGTGCTGGTGAGCCAAAGGTGAGGTTGGATGCCTCATGCGGTGCGGCGCTAATGATCAGTTCATTATCCTTCTCGACAACCTCCTTTGGCGCGCGCGCCAGAAGTTTGTTCTCAAGCATGCCGGCCACAACCTCTGCAGCGCTGCAATCGAAGGAGCTGCGATCCAGCAAGCCGTAAACGTCAGCAATGTTAATGGTGGCGAGGCGAAAGGGATCAAAGCGGCCGTCCTTGTTCAGGGCATTGATTGTACCCTGTGCAGCAACGAAAGCCTGTAGCGCATATCGTTCTGGCGTGCCGACGGAAGGAAGGGTGGGAATGGCCACGTTGTCAACAGCGGCCTTATCCAGCAGGGCAGCCACATCGCGGAGCTTGCCGCCTGTAATGAGGTGAACGCCATTAATGTTGACATTGCGGAGAGGAAAGAGGTGCTGAAAATACTTCTCGTACTGACGGGCTTCGGATAGGGGAAACAGCCGCGTGATGGGCAGCTTGGTGTCGTTGAGGCTCTCCTGAATCGTGCCATCAAACCACTTCTTGAGCAGGTGGTCGTCCGTGCGCTTGACCATGGAATCCAGACGCGAGGTGCTGTCATCCACAAAGATGCACGTGTAGTAGCTGGTCACCATGGCGCAGAGGTTGTGCCAAGTGTGATGGTCACGGTACACGTGGGAGAGCTCGTCGAGGACAAACAGTGGCATGATATTGCCCTCACACACACTCAGCAGATCGCGGATGCTGTCGCTCTCTGCTGCGGCCTCAGATAAAATCTTGTGCGGGTTGTAAAGCATTGGGACATCAATTCTGTGAGCCATGATGGCAGCTCGAAGCAGCTGCCAGGGCTTTGGTCGTGTGCTATCGCTCTCGAAGTTCTGGGCGTCCATATAGACCGATAAGACGTTGTCCAACAGCAGCGGCGCAAGGGTAGAGACGAGGCGCAGCGTGTGCGATTTGCCCACACCCAATTGTCCACTAAGCGCAAAGCCGCTGTGGTTGTTCTGACTGGCCTGCGGGCCGAGGCGGGTGTCGTGTGACTTTTGAAAGACCTTGGTCAGCAGCAGGTCAAAGATGCTGGCGACGGGCGATGGCAGGTCCAAGTAGCAAAGGTGCAAGGGAAAATGGAAGCGGCTGTGCTCGGGCGCCGACTCTAAGATGGCCAGGCCCTTACGCGCAAGGTGTGCAAACTTGGTGGCCTCTTCGCGCTTGAGCAGACGGGCCTCTTCACGCAGTTCACCAAAGCGGGTCACCACGTCCGTGTCGACCGCGCTCACGGCGCCGTCAGGCAGGCCCGTGTGAAATACGGAGGAAAGCGCGGCGTTACACAGGGCTCCCCGCGTGAAGCGGATTTGCGAGCTTGATAAGTTTGACGCCGTCGACGCACACCGCTTCGCAACGCTTCGCGTGATTGCACGCCACGGTGAGCGGAACAGCATGCGTGAGGTTTGGAGGGAAATGCCAGAGGAATTCAATGCTATTGCTGCTTTGATCTCGGTCTCGAGCGACCGAAATCGGCCTCACTCACTCTTCACTCTGACAGTAGAGCCAGGAAGCAAGGCTTCTCTCGTATGAATGAATGTGAATTCTGGCGGTCGACGAGCAAAAGGTCAAAAGGAAAAATTATTGTCGACAAATCGCCCATCAAAAAGCGCGGGAAATTTATGTCAGATGCTATCCTGCTTGTAGAATTTTGTGTCTGGTCTTATTCGAATCCGGCGTGAGAACGAGTGGCACGGGAGGTGATTGACCTTGGTAGTGGTGGTGGTGGTGGTGGTGTGTGGTGTTCTGCTTGCTTTGATGTTTCTGTTTTGCCGTGACACTTGTGAAGCCAAGAAAAACTGTTCATTTCCGAATCATTTTTCCTTTTGTTTTTTATTTCCGAGGGGGTCATGGCCTCTGAAGTCAGCCCGGCATCGACAGCGGCAAGTGGTGCCGGCCCAAGGGAGGCGGCGTCAAGTGATCGTAGGAGGCCTGTGTGGGTCGTAGAGGTCTCAGAGGATGAGACGATCTGCGCCTCCATCATCGCAACATAGACGTCACTCGTGACAAATTCAATCACGTCAATGTCTTCATGAAGGTTCTCCACGATAAAATCGGCCAATTCCTCAGAATTGATTTCGCAATCCGCTGCATCTGCAATCGAGCTAATGTTTGCGAATAGTCTGAGAAAGAAAATGCCACTACTGGTTGTCTCTTCTCATGGGGGAGGTGTGCAGAACACATGACACACAAATAACGTCCCCTCACACACACTCACACACCCAAAAACAACCAATCCATCCCTCTCACACACACTCACACACCCAAAAACAACAAATCCATCCCTCTCACACACACACACACACACACACGGTATCGCGCACAGCCAACAGGTTCGCGTGATGGTCTCTGACAAGATGGCAAAAACACAATCACCGCTCCCATACATTGATTGAATCAGTGGTTAGAGTCTGAAAACAAGAATTCGATTGCCGTGCCAGTGTGCCACGAGCGCGAGAACAAAAACGCAAACTCACACGCGACAAGAAAGAGAGGCCTTGAACACTCGTCAACGACCTTTAGCGCAGCCAACCGAGAATCCATTGCTGCCCTTTGCCGTTTTGGCATGTTCTTGTCCTTGATAAGCGTGGTGGCGATCGTACCCCTTGTTGGAGTCTTTGCGGCGAGCCTTACGAGCCATCCTCCGTGGCTGCTTGCAGCTCTTGGGCCTGTGGGGTTTATCTGACATTTCCGTCTTCTCCATTGTCTTTGTTCTTTTGTTTTTCCCCACTCCATATTGGCGTGTGTTTATGCAAACGAAACGAAAACCACCCAAAAACAAGAAGATGAACACCACAACCACCAACCACCGCACAAATCCATCCCTCACACACACAAATCACGTCCCAGTCAACAGGTTCGCGTGATCGGAACACGTCCCGCCATGCATTGAATCGGTGGTTAGAGTCTGAAAACAAGAATTCGATTGCCGTGCCAGTGTGCCACGAGCGCGAGAACAAAAACGCAAACTCACACGCGACAAGAAAGAGAGGCCTTGAACACTCGTCAACGACCTTTAGCGCAGCCAACCGAGAATCCATTGCTGCCCTTTGCCGTTTTGGCATGTTCTTGTCCTTGATAAGCGTGGTGGCGATCGTACCCCTTGTTGGAGTCTTTGCGGCGAGCCTTACGAGCCATCCTCCGTGGCTGCTTGCAGCTCTTGGGCCTGTGGGGTTTATCTGACATTTCCGTCTTCTCCATTGTCTTTG